CTCAGGACGTGAGAATGTATCACTAGCTTGATTTTAGAGTTCTTTGCTACCCCATTGACAGGGAATATTCCGACGCCGCCCATGCACTGATAGCTGGCAGCCATCAAGGAGCCGACGTGGGGGATGTGCCTAGCGCGTGTCCGGAGAAAGCACAGCCAGCTCGACAGACGACGTACAGCCGACTCCGCGCCGCCCGGAGTCGAACAGATCGACGCCGCATAACGAGGGACTGAACACGTCGCCAAGAGCATATGGGCCGGTCCCTTGCATAATTGCACCGGATGAAGCATTGGTGCCATTAACGACCAGCGTACAACCGAATTGTAGCCACAAGTATAAATACTGATACCCTGGTCTAAGGAAAAGAGGGGAATCTTTTTCGCTACTAAGACCATGTGCTAACTTAAACATTTGAGGGGTCGAGTCAGGAATCCCCCTCCCGACGTCGACATGTCGTGCAGGATCTCGGTGTGGACGACGCTAATCAAGCTCCACCTCGGGTCGGCCACAAAAATGCGACAGACACTCGAGAGCCAACCCCCCGGCCCAACCTTACTCCTCCGGCCTCTTTGCCCAAGAATCCATGTGGACAACCTTGCGCTGTCAGGACAGAACCAAGCCGTACCGATCCCCAAGTCATGGCATAAAGGTACATAACACCCATGAATAAGACTAAGGCGGTAGAAAATTAGGCCAATATTAGCCAAAACAGCACAAAGGTCCAATGTGCATTCTGTATCACCATGTCAAAAGTATGCTACAACCCTTTCTCAGAAAGCTTTCAATATGCCTAGTTTACTTATTACTAAGTCCAAATTTCCACTGATAACTATTGAAATATCGATGGTCCAAAGATGAGCATAGTTCAAAATTCTTAAAGCCGTCATTCATGGTAGGCCCCAACATATGGCTGTCGGAATATGACACTAAAAATGAAAAACTAAAAGAATTGTTGTAACAATTCTATGATCAAAATAATCCATATCTTGCTTAAGTTGTATTAGATGTCATATCAGAAAGGGCTATGTTCATTCCATTTGCAGGCCTGCCCCCACATACTACGAATGAAAGTTTTATTTTCATCTCATGATTTCTTGGAGTGTCTTTCAAAGTGATGAAGGTTAGATGGATCTCAGCTGGATGATTTAGAGTTCTTTTGATTTGATAGGTTGGCTAGTAACTAAAGACAAGCATTTAAGTATCTATGGTCTGGCAACAACAGCCATAAAGATCCATCTTCCTGTGTACTCTTGTAGATAAAGAAGATCCATCTGAGTGATGTAAAATTGTGTTTCATGAGTTCCATTAGTTTGTTGCTATTTCACTGTTATTTTGCAAAGTTTCACAATTTTATGCATGGAAGATTATGGATAGGTCAACCCTAGGATTTTTCCAACAAATATGTGTACTACAGAAGGAAGATATGTATCTTTTATCTCAATTCAGTTTGATGAACTGACTTTCGTCTTATAGACATATTAAATCATTGAACATTTGATTAATCAACGTTATTTCTAGGATAGCTCATCAACTTGCAAGATATCTGAGGTATGTGTATTTGCACAATCTAAGAGTGAAGTAGAATTATGCTTAGGAGTTCAATAAATCATAGTTCATCATGAGTTAGAGAGTTCTTTTTGTTCACTTTGCCATGATAAAATGTGCAAGGCCTGAGCATGCATTTTAGATTTTCCATAGTTATACAACACCAATTTCAACAGGAAGTACTGGTATAGTTAGAACAGAAACAAAGTTTTGGCTTGCCATAATTTTGCAAGAATGAACTTGTTGCTGGACAATGAGGCCTCATCATGTTTGCAGCCAATAAGAGTAAATTATTGCATTTAGCACGCAAGAAGTAAAAGGCAGCAAAGAAAAGTTTTAGTGATGGACTTTTTTTCCCTGTTGACACCAATTTGACTGAGCATTCTACATTTTCATCTTTAATAATTATATATGAAGCAATAAAATTAGGTAATTCCACATAAATATACAGACCATAAAGCATAAGTTCAAGTATATACCCACTGAAAGGCACCTTCCTGAGTTCCATCTAGAACAGTCACCCAATCTGACTGGAACTTTAGTGAGCTCTTCTGCCGCAGGAGATCTCTAACCTGCATAAGATAAGGTTGACATGGAAAAACAAAAATACAAGTAGAAGCAAGAGCTAAAATGTCTATTACAAGAACCTCACCGCTTGCAGAATTTGTTCAGCAGTTACAGCTCCTAAAGCTCTCAAACCTGCTGTAGCCTGCATAAGCATCATATGTAGACAGCCATGAACAAGAGCATGTGTGCAGTTCATATTACAATTGTTCTGTAGGCTCCAATAGCCTCAATATGGTTTACCCCAACTCTGACAGGTGTTGTTCGTCGCAACTCTGCTGGAATAACACTTTCAGCTTTCTCTAATAAAGGAAGAAGTGAATTTGCAGCCTCCTGAGGATTCTTGGCATAGAAGCTCAAGCCGGGTGTTCGCTGCATGCATGACAAACAGAAATGAGAAGATACCCAAATTCCTCAGTCCGTGAATAAGAAAAATATAGCTTCTTTAATGGCTAATTAACTTTTTAAAGGACTAATTCCTTGCGTATTCAGAACATACAAGAACATTGTCACATATTTAGAAAATAAAAGGTTGCAAATTTTCAGTAACTACCTTTATAATGTAAAAGATCAATGTTAATTTTTAGATGCAAAAGAGGAACTATTCATATACCATCCATGACAAATTTATTAGGTGATATGGGCTCATGTCATTCTTCTCATAATTCTTTATTTAGACTATTTTAGTTTATTTGCATATATGATTACACGGTGCAAATTTAATGGATGAGGTGAAATCTAATCAACTTTTAGAAAATTGCTAGTTTTACAACTTAAACTTTACGCTTATATTTTACCCTATATCAAACTTGTGATTGGATACTGTCAGGCACCATTCTAATGAGTGGTGTTATAGTTCAGATGAAAATATGTCATATACTATAGACATTTACTCGTCATTCTTACAATAATCATCTCCTGCACTGAATAGAAGATTCAGATCAAACAGAGAATGATGGTTTATCCATATACACCACAAATATAGAAAAAGTTTCACCATCAAGGTGGTCCATAATGAAAACTTGGTTTATACAAGTTTAAACCCAACTAAGTCATCTTAAAACAAGCATTCTAATATGTAAAGAATTTGATGATGATTATCCAAGTCCCTGTTTCTCCTGTAATGCACTGAAAACAGATTTAAAAATCTTTGTTCTTCCTAGTCACGAAAATTGGCTTACTTTTCAATTAAAATTCTTTGGGATTCTACTAATTTATGCTCTTAGCATGGCAAGTATATTAATGGGCCAATTTTCTACTAAGTTAAAAATGAATATTGATGAGGACGTTTACAACCATGTTGATGAGCAGACAACAGGTAGACTTAAATGACCGGGGGAAAATTTGATCACAACAATTTACATTTTTAGACTCAGGGTCAAATTGAAGAAACTTTTGGTTTAGGATTTAAGTTTCCAGTTTGGACATCATACAGGGATCATCTCTCTCATTAAACCTGTTTGTGTCTAGGAGGATTCCCACCTGAACCAAGTGACAGAAGGCAGCAGATGGAATAGGCATAGTTACATTTATTGCTTGTCACTCATCCATGGCGCTGGTTGAGGGTTTATGATGGTACTGAAATTCCATAACCTAAAAAGGAAAATATTAGGTTACTCCAATACTACTAATTGAAACATTATTCACCACAACATCAACCTACATAAAATCTCAAGTCAGAAATATGCATTGCAATCTCATAAACAAGACACCTCTTAACTTACTATACTACAAAATTAGATGCATCCTTATTCATGGAATGTGAATTTTATGAAACTAATGGAGAATTTGTTTATGATAAGATAATTTTTCCCTGTCTTCAGAATAACCAATCATCAGAATCTATCCACAGCATAATAACGCAAACAATGTGATGCCGACTTGCTTTTGGTTTCAGATCAAAATAGTAAGTTTCAGTACAAGAAGAAGCTAAATGATGATAATTCCATAACCTATTGCTCAGATTTATAAACTAAATACCAGGAAATTACTGGAATCAAATAATGGCTCCAGTCATATCCATACCTGTTCGAAGAGCTCGATTTCCTTGCCGATACTCAGCAGATCAAGATTCACGTCAAAGCAGTACACGTGAACCCTACTCCCCGAACTCCCCGCGTCGAAGATAACAGCATAGCTCTTCGATCCCAACTCCCCGCCGCCGCTACCGACGCCACCTCCACCTGGAGCCGTCTTCCGCCCGGAGGAGACAATGGGGGAGGGGGCGCGGGGCATGAGGAACAGAACGAAGGAAACAAGCAGAAGAGGAACGGAGAAGACGAGGATGACGCCGCGGAAGCGGTGGATCCGGTCGGGGAGGGACTCCTGGCGCACCCGCCTCATCCTGGCATCGAAACCAGTGTCGGAGGGGACGGGGGAGAGTTCCGCCGCAGACGGCGACCGGTACCGTATCTGACCATTGGACGGCGCCGGGGCTGGCGGCTTCAGCGGGGTCTCCTGCCGCGGCTCCAGCTTTCTCTAGAGATGAATCAACGGAACAAGGGGAAGCGATCGAGAAAGAGAGAAGAAATCTTCGAAACGACGAGGAGATCAATCGCCCTCTTTCCCCCTTCTCGATGGCAACGGAGGAAAGCAAAGAGCAGAGGAGAGTGCCGTTGGTTAAGACTCATAATACTTTGTATGGGCAATAAATGTGTGGGACCCAGTGATATGTAACGTTAAGTGAGTCTCTGCGGAAATACTTATGACCCACGCGTGGGGCTTACGCGTATGGCTGACGTGATGAGAACAGGCGTTGGTGGCCGTCGGATTAGCGAACGACCGACCGAATTGCCCCCGAGCCATCAGGTGGTGATATGGTTCCTCGCAGACCTTTGGGCCCCGCTTCGATTTTATCCAATCAAAAGGCACGTAGTTGTGACAGGTAGACCTAATCGGGTAGGAAAAGCATCGTGATTGGTTCGTTGCAACCCGTCCCCATCCATCTCTCGCCATCCGACACCGACCTTCATTTTTCTCATCTTCCTGTGGAGACAGCAGCCTCGCAACCCAGCACAGCGACTTCTATAAGAGGGATTTCGTCGAACAGAACGGGGGCATCGGAAGCTATGCGATACTGATCAGTTCCCGTACCAAATCATGGTGTTTGAGTCCTGCTGAGGGCCGGCCCGCTGCTTCCACGGAGGCTGCTTGTGTGGTTGCATGTTGATGTCAGACGAAGGCTCGAAATCAGTGGTCATGGAACCCTTCATTTCGCCTTTAACTTATTGGAGTCGTGGTCTTCGTCGGCTTCTTACGGTCTCTAACCATGTCAGACATTACCACATAAAACAAACAACGTAATCGATCATCGACGATGGATGGTGTTGGTGAACAAATGTATCGTAACGGATGAGGTAGCACGATGAGGTCCATGAGTCGATGTCGGGAGTTTACGATCGATCGAACATGTAATACCTCACTTAGTCTTACATCGAAAATGAGTAAAATTAAGATTGATTTATAAAATTCTGATGAGTATATTATTATAAATTTTAATTTAAATATTTTGATCAGTGATTTAGACCAAACGAAGTTGATAAATTAATTAGCCCATCAGATGATCAAAATATACCTTATGTTATGTATATTATATATAATATAATCAAAATATGCCTTATCAGATGATCAACACGTTTCCGTTTGTAATTTTGGTTTTGTGTCTATTTAATACCAAATCTGACCCATGAAATGTAATTATACAATCACTTGCAATTCAATTTACCAAAATCGTCTCATCAAATCTCTGCAAGAGAGTATGTTTACCATCTGGAGAGAGTTATAAACCATATTAAATATTATGGTTTAATTTGGTTTATTTATGTTCTAAAAAGGTTTTTAGTTTCTTGTGAACCGGACCGTTCGACCCGGCCGCGAAATTATGACCATGATCCCTCACATCACGTCGAACCACCTTCGACATCAAGGGCATATACGTAATTTGAGGATCCCTTTGGTTTCGGCCACTCCTCGTCTTCGACCATCCACGTGGAAGCCAAACCTATGCAACGGCGTCATCACTCAGCGATCTCCATAACGATTAATCTCAAACAGCCGTTGGATTTGACGCGATCGATTCTCCACCGCCCGATTGCCGCTGCAGGACCAAATAAATGCCCCCCGCTTTTGTCTCTTCTCGGTTTTCCGGTTTCCGTTTCAGTTTGAACGAGAAGAGGACGAGCGAGCGAGCGAAGAGAGTGGAAGCCAAGAAGGGAAAAGGAGAAGCCTCTGCGGAGGATCGCAAGCCCTAATTCGCCTTTTTTTTTTCTGATCTCGGTATCGTATGATCCGTCTCTGCATCTACTTCTTCCTAGATCAATGTTTTCCGCTTTTGCTGCGTAAAGATTTAAGATGCTTTGTTTAATCTGTTTTAATGGATTCGATTGGCGTTTTGTTGGAAGGTCTACTAAATGATGATGTCAGAAATCGGTGAGCAAGCATCTATGACGGATAGGATCCATGAGAAGATCCATGAGTACAAAGGATCATCGTCGTCTTCAGATTCGGACAACGAGAAGCCTTCAGCTAATGTTTCGACGAAGAAACGTTTGTTTGGGAGGAAGGAACCAGTGCATGCCGTCCTCGGAGGAGGGAAATGTATGTTCTCCTTGTCATTGCCAAGTTAACTTAGATCTTTATCTTGATAATTGTTTATGTTACTGTCCTGCAGCTGTATTTAGTTTGAATCTGTGATACGATTTCCTCAGCCATTTCCACCTGGTTCGTGAAGATGACGGTGTATAGCTCCTTAAACGAATCAAATGTGTAATTGATAATGGGAGTTAAATCGGCAATATCAGACTATGGTTTTATTGTTATGGAGACAGAGGTTGTGAGATAGGAGTTGGAGAAGCTAATTTAGTCAATCCAAAGATATAAATCAGCAATGATATGGATCATATTGGATGTTGCTTACTTTCTATTCTTTAACAACACTTTTGGATGTTCATCTTTAATATGTTATTGGTCTTGTATTTTGTTTCCACAGAAATCAATGTCAGGTTAATATTCCTTACATTATATTGCTTTTGTAGTATAATTTGTTCTCTTCTCTTGTGTTGAAATTAACTCCAAATTGCTCCTCCTTTCGCTATTTTTCCTCGACCCTTTAAGTTCTAGTACCTGCCAACACTTTGTTCCCAATACTTGCTGAGTTAAGAACTTCATTTTCAAGGTTGAGATGTGACTTTATTCTGAGTCAATCATCCTCTTTATGGATAAGCTGGCTTTTGTGTATACTCAAAATTTCCATGCTTAGAAAACTTTTGAAGTCAAGCCAGTAGCAACTTTGTCTACAACTCTTGGCTATTGTTTTGCTAACTCAAGATACTTAAAAGTTCATATCATGCTTGCCATTTAGGATCTAGCATGTGCTCTTGAATATGGATCAAATATAGGCAAGTTTTAAATAATGAGTTTATTGTGCTTTCAGCTGCTGATATCATACTATGGAGAAATAAGCAGCAATCAGGCAGCATACTTGCTGGAGTTACTGTTATATGGCTTCTTTTTGAATGGATAGGCTATCACCTACTGACATTTATATGCCACTCTCTTATACTTCTACTGGCAGTGTCGTACCTTTGGTCTAATGCAGCATTGTTTGTCAACAGGTACGAGCCATATTTTGTTACGAGTAAAGATATTATAATAAATTACAATATCTTTTGGCACTTATGGATTGCTTAAAAAGTAATGATTCATTAAGTTGCTAACGGAGCAGAATTCTGTTGGATCATGAATATAATAATATGGCTTAAAAATATGTTTGCTTGTGTTCTGCTGAGAAGTGATGATACTTCAACATTGAGAGTTTATGTAAATTTCTCCTGTAAAATTAGTCTTTTCAATGCTCATTGAAGTTCTATAGAGCATGGCCAATGGAGACATTTGGATCTTTTGTGTATGAACAATCTAATTCTTTAAAGAATAAAAAGGAAAGGAAAAGGGCATTTAAAACATTGCTCAGGCAAGCTTTGGAATTTGATGAATGTTTGTTTGTTGTCCCAAAATTCCTTTTCCCTAACAGTAAAATAAGCACAAGAGTTACTTGGCCATGGCCAGCCTTTTTTTTTTTTAACTACTGTTTGTGATTTGTGATGGCAGTCTTATTTTCTTGCTTAAGTTTTTCCTTGTTCTTGTTTGTTGATATCCAGGTCTCCACCAAAATTTCCAGAGCTTTTTGTGCCCGAGGACGTGTTTCTGAGCATGGCTCTTATTCTAAGAAACAAAATAAATGAAGTTTTTGCAATTTTCTGTTGTGTTGCTACTGGGAATGATTTGAGGAAATTTTTGAAGGTATGATTTAATACCTCCAAGCTTTCTTTTTTGCAGTTTGTGTCTTGACTGCCAAATTTATATGCAGGTAATTGGAGGTTTGTGGATCCTTTCGGTAGTTGGTGGCTGGTTCAGTTTCTTGACTCTTTTCTACATTGGTCAGTTTCTTCTACATCTTGTTTGCATCATTATATATAGAATGTTAATTTCTGTTTAATCGTCTAATATGCAAGATGTTTGGAATGCCAGAGATTTATCATCTCAACATACTTCTTTCAGCCTTTTTACCCTTTAGATAGTCCTGGTTGCACACCAGAATAATAGCATTCAAATCTTTTGGACAAAACATGCTTCAGTGTGTAGGTTAAGGCTAAAATATCATGAATATGTCTCGTGAAGAAACAAATTAAACAATATGACACCAGAACAAAGAGACATAACAAATCAAGGCGATTTCCTCATAGGACTGGCCTGTAATGTAGATTGGCAAAACATACCAGTAAATGGTAAATGTCTACTGGACACAAGTAGCAGTAAAACTTGCAAGAGATTGTTTTATACTGCGCCATATTTTCTATGCTTAGGTCATAATCTTTCTTTCGCAGTTGTTTTAATTCTGTACACTGCGCCTGTTCTCTATGAGAAGTACGAGGACAATGTCGACACAGCTGCTGAGAAGGCAATGGTCCAAATTGACAAGCAGTATGCAGTCCTTAATGCCAAGGTACTCCAGAAAATTCCCGGGGGACGGCTTTCTTCCATAAAGCAACACTGAAAAAGAAATATGTTTGGGGTAAATCCGTCCTAGAATTTCCTGCCACTGGCAGATCTGATGATTAATCCATGGAGGAGTCATTTTTTTGGAACATGTCTGTAGGTGACAATAATACATCTCTTTACAGCCTATTGCACAGCTCTTAGGTGCTTATTCTGAAGCAACTGCAGCAGTGTTATTTTACAATTATTACTGGTATTCTTTTCTTCATAATGTAAGAGTTTATTCAATACATTTTTTCCTTGAGGAAAGACATCATTCATTGCATTGATATCTTGTTATTTGGTGTGTCTCCTCTCACTACTTTGCGCTGTTCATTATCCTCAACCTCAATTCAGAATTTTCACACATTATCTGCCATTATTCAACACAAGCTTTCTTTCAAGCAGATTCTCATTTCGTCTACAGCTTGCAAAGGAACTCAAGAGAGTTATCTTCAAGTTTTATGTGGCTCATGATGCACTCAGTTTCATACTATAGATGGTAGATCTAACCTAAATCACAACCTAAGTAAATGACACTCTAACAGTGAACTACCTAACCTTAACCAAACAGATGGGAGAACACTAAAACCTTGAGAGTACACCTTTACATCTTCAACATATTTCTTTTTTCTTTCTGTATAGATTACTTTCTCGATCTAATGTTCAGAATTGTGAATGTTCAGTTAAAGAGATTCCCCAACAAGAATCTCTTGCTACAGCTCATGACAAGCAGTCACTCAACCATCAACCCTTTCAAAATTGGAGTTCCTTGACAAAGTAGCAGGATACAAGATAGACAAAAGGTAAAAGAGACTATTACTGAACAGGAGTTGATTAAACATACTAAGAAAGCCATTCAGGTACTTTCAGCTCATATAGTTGAACTCATCTCAAATCTTTCCTCTAGAATCATGAATTCATTTCAGAGTTGGCATCATTCATTCACAATTTTGAAATGTCTTCTCTCATTATTTATTTGGTTTGCTAGTCCACTGTTAAACCAACAAACAGATCTCTTATTTGTAAAACAATTTGTATTACTAAAACTGTATAACTACATTAATGCATACATACCTATGCAGAGGAACAGCAATATTTATGAATAGCAAGATGTCTAGAATCAGAAAGCATATTTTTGTCCTTTTATATTCCACTTTACATGGATCCTTTCTAGCCAGTAAGTATCAATTAGAAGATGACATTCCTCACAAATGAATCTGCACTCACCATGCATACAAAAGAAGAGCTCCTCAATGTGGTTTCATCGAGTCCGGAACCATTATGGTAACCTTCCTAATTGCTTTTGAAAGTACTTGTTAGGATGAAAGGATCCTCAAGCAATACATGCTTTCCTGATTCTTACCTTAACAATGTCAACAAAACACTAGTAGAATTTTTCCCATCCAAGCTAGCCCATGATTGTCTTACTTCCAGCCAAAGAAAGGGAAACTAAGGCTAAAGCTTATCTTGAGCAGCACATTCATTGTTCAGAATCTTCTTAAACAAACATCTACAAGACTTCCAACATAACCAAGTGTAGTCAAGACAAGACCCTGAGACCTAAGCACTAAATAGTCCACCCTTGCATTCTTGGGATTTCAAAAGTTCAATATACTCATATTTAACTTAACCAAGCGCACAACCCCATAAAGATCTCTCCACTGAGAAACTAAAGAATCAAGCAGCTAAAAGAAAAGCTTAATGTTGGGAACAACCAATTGTCCAATTCCAACAAACAAAAGTGCTACAAGAACAGTAAGAAGAGCATCAGAAACTGCAATTGAGTATAAGAATTGCAACAGTAAGCATCATAATTCTACAACCATGCAACTTAATCCAAAAGCATAACTCAATCAAGCTTTCGTTTTGATCCTCCGCTCAGTAGCAGTCACAATAATCAATTCATTTCATGAGCAAATCCAGAGATGAAGCACATGTATTCTACACAATTTTACTCGAAGGAAGCTCGTCCGTGACTCCAATCCGGAACAAAAAGTCTCAGAATTTTGTCTTATACCTGCAATCGGAGTTCTCCACCGATCGGCTCTGAACGCTCACGGTGATGTTGCACATGGTGTACGCCACCATGTGGTGCTTGAACACCCCAAGAATCGTCACCGTCCCGGGGAGTCTCGTACTGGTGGAGAAGGGAACCGACCCCGAGATCACGTCCTTGTACAGGGTCGCGTCGGAGATGAGTCGGTCGGCCATCACCGTGAGAGATACGTTGGTCCGCACCGAACCCTCGGCTCCGACCCTCCCCGGCGGGATAACCGCCTCGCCGACGAGGCCCCCATGGTAGAAGAGCTCGGCGTTTCCGGTGTCGTAGCGGAAGCTCGCGCGGTTAGGGTTGGTGGCCGTTATATCGAGGTCTAGGGTGACGTTAAGATCGACGGAAAGATGGGGGACGTCGAGCCCGACACGGAGGGCGCCGAGATGCACCGAATTGATGGTGGTGACTGTGTGGCGGGGGCGAAAGACGGTGAGGCCAAGGATGAGGAGGAGGAGGGCGATGCCAAGGATTACTGCAACGGAGATGATTACGCAGCGTCGAGAGCACCACCGATGGTGGCGATGTTCCTTGGAGTCCATTACTGGCGGTCCGGTTCAGAGACAGGGGTGTCGCATTTAACTGGAACTGTGGAGCCATCAGATAGTTATGTTGTTCCGGAGGAACTATTAATAATACTTGGTAGGCAAAGCAACGGTTAGATTCGATTGGTGGAGAATGTTACAGTGCCTGTGAGGAATCAACAAGCTACCTGTTGGGACCCTCCAACCAGAAGGCTGGTAGAAAATTGGGTAAGCAATGAGAACCGGAGAAAAGCATTCAAAGTGCGTCCTTGGGTTGGTGGTTCTGTTGGGGGTTGGGTGAGCTGTTCATTACCGTCAAGGAAAGAGGTAATAAATGGAACCGACGTACCTCAGTTACTATTAATTCGGGCTCAGATATATTTTGTGTTACTACGGTTTTCCCTATAAATTGGAAAAAGAAACTCTTTTAAAATATTTTTAGAAACTAAATCTCTCAGAAATTTTTTTTTTGGATCATATGGCAACTTATTTTGAAATCATAAGATTTTTATTTTTATTTTTGATATCATCAATTTGGTTATCAATCTGAGTTGATGAGATTGATCTGACCTTATTTGTCTTTTGAGTTATCATGTCTAAAAAAAAAAAAGAATGTGGTCATGATTTAAGAAAGATTTATTGTGTGTACCTTATAAAAAAATTTATGTCAATTATGCATTCCATAGAATCTTTTTAATGATAAAGTCAGTATATCTTTAATCATTTTGAACATTCAGAGCACATAAAGAATTTATTTTTTTTACTCAATTTAAAATAATATATATATATATATATATATATATATATGTACCTTTTTTAGTATAATGATGATGTAGCATGTCCAGTGTCATTTCTAAAAGATTATGTGACATGTACTGACTGAATTTCTTATGTTAAATTTTAATTAGTTGAAAATAATTACCATATCATTTGTCATTCATTTGTGTTTTGGGTATGAATTTATTTACTATGAAATAGAGAAGCTTTAGGCCTGATTGGTTGTATCGGATGATTCAAATTTTTTGTCCTGCTTACAAGGAGAAAACTTTAAGATACCTCAAGTGATTTAAATGTTTCTATATTATAGGGATACATCATGTGTAAAAAAAAGATATTTTGAGTTTGAGTGTAATTGTGTCGAGCATTTCAAATATTTATTTATCCTATATACATGCATCATGTGCAAATGGGTTTGGTTTTAACGGATGCTTTGAATTTTATTTTGTCATGGGAAACCAATGTTATAATGTCACAAGAACAAACTATAGCTCAATCAATGTCACAAGCATAAAAAAAATATCTTATATATATATATATATATATATATATATATATATATATATATATATATATATATATATATATATATATATATATATATATATATAT